GTCTTGATTTTGATTCAACTTTAGAAGAAAAACAGAAAGGGCAACTTATTTCAGAAGACATTTTAAAAAACAGCTTACTTTTTGTTCTGTGCGGTTCCGGCAAGTCCTTGCTAGTCGGCTGCAGTTTTTATGATTCTTGCCTCCTACAAACATATGAGTACAACTGAGAACATTATTCAGTAATGGCACAGATTACCTACTAAGTAAATTAGCAGTAAATGTGTAACACATGTATTTAAGAAAATATTAGCAGTCGAAACAAAACATATTTTCACTTCATCCTCAGGATATAAAAATATAGAATATAGAACATATAGAATAGAAAAATAATGAAAGCAAGTAAAGGGCAAATCATAAAAGCAGTGCACAGAATGAATTTTATTCACAATTATAACAACGTCAGAAGTTTTTAAAGCACCTTTTTATTTAAGGGTGCGTTCACACCTGTGAATTGATTCAGTTGTTCTGAAACAGAGATTAAAATTGTTACATTGTTGCTCTTTGCTCTTGGAGCGGTTCGCTTTCACACTGCAAAGTTTCTAATCGGACCAAAAGAGCTAAAACAAGTCACGTGCGAGTAAACTCTCCCTACATTGGTCAGAGTGTCAGGGTTTATTTTGCAGCTTCCCGCTCAGCTGTCAGGAGAGGTGGTGGTTTGGTGGTGATTGACAGGGTGCGCGCGAGACATGTCTGAGGAGAGACACGGTGGGGAGGGGTGAGAAGGGTGCGCGACGGTGCCTATTTGAGGACCGGGAGAGAGACGCGAGATTACCGGGAGATCATCACTCGTTTGCGGGCATCCGGAGACTCGCGAAACTTCCCGACATACTCATAATTCTCTCTTCATATAGCCGTAAGCCTATTACATATCCATAAAACACTGTGATATAACCGCGCTCGGATCGGATCACTTTCTCACTGCAATCGAACCGCTCCAGTGTTCGTTTCAGTCGAGCCGAGACCACCTCACTCAAGTGATCTCGGAGCGATTACTTTGGCATGGAACAGAGCGCGATTGCCCTGTTCACATATGCCAAACGAACCGCGCTAACTGGGCAAACGAGATACGTTCCGAAACAAAAGTGTAGGTGTGAAAGCACCCTAAATCTCATTACCTTTGGATGGTTCTTGGTGTTGTCCAATCTCAGCAGACTTCTTTGATTTCTCTGAAAAACAATACCTTTCTTTAAGCACAAGATTTTTCAATAATAACTCCTAAATACCAATATCAGACCGTTGTCACAGCCACCTCCCCAACCTGAATCCCAGTACACCTGACCACAGTCCCCTAATAACTGATTAATTACACCCCTCATCAGTTTCCTTTATAAGCAATTACTCTGCACTTACCCATTGCTACTTACCTGTTATTGTCAACACATTTGTTCATTTCGCTAACCAATCCTTCAAAGCTTTCAGTATGGCCACAGAAGCACTCTCCACCTCTAAACATTTATTCTGTTTCCACCCAGGTTCATCCACCATTGGCAATTTCACTCACCAGACTTTGACAGTAGCTAGTGGGTGGACGAGTGCTCATTAGAACCTATCAACAAAGCTTGAACCCAAACATTCGTTCTGCTATTATGATGTACAACACCATTGACTACCTTCTTCTTGTTTTATATTATGGCTGGTGCGCTCGGTCATCCCTCTGTTAGTAGCGAGACCACTCGATGCACAATGCCAGCAGTCGGCCAGCGAGTAAACTAATATAATGAATAAATATACATAGGCCTATGCGTATACATCATTTAATGCATTTAATAGGTTTGCATTCTGCACTGCGAGTCATTGGCCTGACAGTGGAAACGCGACAATTTCAGCCTCACTGCTCAAGCTCTCTGACTATTGGCTCAGCCCGGCCCGATAAAAGCCCTGGCTCGCACTAGCCCAACAGTGGAAATGTATGGAGCTAGATTTGTTTCTTTGTTATTCAATCAAAAATATTTAGTTTTAAAGTAAAATTTAGTATGTTGTAATTAAAGAATTAAAGATTTCAAATAAAAAACATGTTTATTTAAAAAACTTATGTCAATGATAATAAAATATTTTGGATTGCAAAAATAAACACTTGTCCTATTATGCAGTTACCACAATTTTCATTGCATACTTATTAATTTTGCTCTCTTTTCTGCTGTCTTTTATTGCACATCTAGAATCTTTGCTTGCAGGTTGAAAGATTTTGTTTGTGAGTTGAAAAGTTTTGAACCCTTGAATGCCGGGGTTAAATTTGTGTCTTTATTACTCAAACAAACATATGAAGTTTGACCAAAACTAGGTAGAATGCAATTAAAAAAATAAAGATTTAAAATAATAAAAAAACATTTATTTAAAAAAATTCACACTGCAAAAAATAAACTATTGCCATGTTATGCGGTTACCACCAGATTAATGCATTGTGTGCTCATTTATTTTGCTTTCGGTTTTGTTTTATTTTTGCGGATCTAAAATCTTTGCTTTTGAGTTGAAAAGTTTTGCGAGTTGAAAACTGCAGCTCAGTGGGCGGGATCTTCTGAAACACCTTATTCTATTAGTCATCTTGATTGAGGTCACAGATTGGCCACGCCCATTACATTTTTGCACGGTTGGAATGGACTGCCTTGCCTTCTGTGACAGGAGCGAGCTATGGCGAGCAGCAAGTCTTCTTCAAGGTAGGTTAACTGAAACTGTATAATAACTTGTGTATTACCATACATATTTCCCATCTAAATATGTTACGACTGCTAGTATTAAACTCTGTCTAGTCAGTGATATTTTTGAATTCTCTCGATAAACTAACATTAGCTGTCGGCCATCAGTACTGTACAGTTGTAAAGGGCAACGCAAGGATAGTGTATTGTGGAAAATATACATTGATGTATTATTAAAGTCAGGCTTTTTGTCTGTAGATGATGGCCAGGTGTACAGTAGGTCTGCAAACAGACTGGGATACATTCTCGGCAACCATTAATCTTCAGTTAGTTTCCAGACAAAAGCTACTGTCTCTTTGAACTGGAGCATCATATTTATTCTCCACTGTTAGAAAATGTAGAAACTCAGTGTATGTATATTTCATTACAAACGTGACAAATATTTATTTAGTATATTTTGTTTCCCATATAAATGTTAGTTCATACATTAGTTAACTTGAATTAATTATGAACAGGATATCTGTTAAGCAATAATTAATCTTTGTTAATGTTAACTAAACATATTAATGCATAAGTTAAAAAATGATGGTGAACGAGTTTGTTTAGCATAAACTTTGTTAACGTTAACTTAGTCATGTTCTATTGTATCTCCTTATATTAACAGCTTGATGTTATTAGCCAATGTTTATGGACAAATACAATAATGTATTTGTTCACTGACTAGATAACATAACTAAATAAACAGCATTTATTCAGTAATACTACATTTTTGTTAACGGAAACTTATACAAATAGTAATGTTACTTAATGCAGCAAATACTGAACAGCTCACATTCTTCAACAGGCATGTCATTCATGTTTGTAGACTTTTTACTAACATGATTTATCTCTAGCAAAGCATTAGTTGAGGGAATTAGGAACATTGTTGTAAAATGTGCACTACTTCAACACGCTACATTTGTAAACTGACTTACCACTAACCCAACATTATAACTGATGTGTTACTAACATCTTTGGGTTTATTACAAAGCAGTAATTAATGATTTTACTGGAGATATATATATATATATATATATATATATATATATATCAGGAACAATTATGTTAGTAAAGAATTAACGTTGGTTAGGGTTAGGGTGAGGTGCACACTTCATAATAAGCTTTCTGATTTCCTTAAAAAATGCTCAGTTACTGAGTGATAAACCATGCTAGTAAAGAGTTTACAAATGTTAGTAACACAATATACAATGTTGAAGTCGTTTTGAAAAGTAACAGGGCAGTTTGCAGGTGATCTTCGCTATATAATTTGTTTAGGCATTATTGCAAATATTTGGTCTTTAAAGGAACTGGTATAAATCAGTTGTAAAGTAAAAATGTATTTATAAAACAACAATACATAGACACGAGAGATATGTGGATTATAAATATTACATTAATCAGAACAATTTTCTCATCTGTTTCTTCAATTTATCCTTACAGGTTGATCACTCAGTCTTAGCGGGCGTAAAACATCTGCTTTGACTCCTCCGATGTCCACATCTGCGCTGACTCCACAGACGTTTACATCTGCACTGTCTTAAATCAACGAATCAACATCCACAATGATTCCACAGGCGTCTCCATCTGCATTGTCTACTTAGACATCAACATCTGCACTGACTGACCAGACATTTATTCACTAAACTCTTCAATCACCACCTGATGTGTGTTGAATTATTTTCTGGAATTGTGTCGGATTTGGACAATAGTAGATTTTGACTTTTTATAAGTGATTTTAAATATATTTTTTTATACATTTATTGTTTCCCTTTCTGGAATTTATTTTGCATTGAAGAAATATAAATGTTTTATTTTATTTTATTAATTCAGCTAAAATATTTCCCAGCTGTAGCTTTTAATAACAAAAATACTGTTACATAAATGGTATAATACACTTTACTGCAGTATAGTAAAGCACTATAGCATGTGTCTGTATAAATTATATTTTTATGTGGAAGATATGTGTAGAAGATACATTTATTTAGTAGTGCATTTGCCAACATATACGTATTTTTATACGGTATACGGTTTAAGTAATAATACAGCAGTAGTAGGGATGTTCAAAAATGCCTGTCAGCTATAATTTAACATAAAATCGTGGCAGCGACTTAAATCTACCTTTTAAAAATGAGTTTACAGTCCATCTCATGTATATATATATATAACGTTTTCACGCGATTGTACTGGACTCCTTTAGTGACCAGAGCGAGCAACAGGTCTTCTTCAAGGTAAGTATAATAACTTGTATATTACCATCCACATTTTCCAAAACTCTGTCTAGTCAGTGATATTGATGAATACTCTCGATTGACTAACATTAGATGAAATATGTGCAAGATATATATATATATTAGAGATATAAGATATATATATATATATATATAAAAATAAAACAATACATGTGTTCAAAAGTATGTGCACAGCTGAGACGTGCACAACTGTGTTCTCCATCGCATCTGCATCCAGATTATATTGGTGGACATACAGCTAATCTGACTAGACAGAGTTTAATACTAGCAGTCGTAACATATTTAGATGGGAAATATGTATGGTAATACACAAGTTATTATACAGTTTCAGTTAACCTACCTTAACGAAGACCTGCTGCTCGCCATAGCTCGCTCCTGTCACAGAAGGCACGGCAGTCCATTCCAACCGCGCGAAAATGTAATGGGCGTGGCCAATCTGACCTCAATCAAGATGACTAATAGAATAAGGTGTTTCAGAAGATCCCGCCCACTGAGCTGCAGTTTTCAACTCGCAAAACTTTTCAACTCAAAAGCAAAAATTTTAGATTCGCAAAAAATGAAACAAAACCGAAAGCAAAATAAATGAGCACACAATGCATTAATCTGGTGGTAACCGCATAACATGGCAATAGTTTATTTTTTGCAGTGTGAATTTTTTTAAATAAATGTTTTTTTATTATTTTAAATCTTTAATTTTTTAATTGCATTCTACCTAGTTTTGGTCAAACTTCATATGTTTGTTTGAGTAATAAAGACACAAATTTAACCCCGGCATTCAAGGGTTCAAAACTTTTCAACTCACAAACAAAATCTTTCAACCTGCAAGCAAAGATTCTAGATGTGCAATAAAAGACAGCAGAAAAGAGAGCAAAATTAATGAGTATGCAATGAAAATTGTGGTAACTGCATAATAGGACAAGTGTTTATTTTTGCAATCCAAAATATTTTATTATCATTGACATAAGTTTTTTAAATAAACATGTTTTTTATTTGAAATCTTTAATTCTTTAATTACAACATACTTAATTTTACTTTAAAACTAAATATTTTTGATTGAATAATAAAAAAAACAAATCTAGCTCCATAGAAATGCGGCTAATGACTTGTGATGGCTTTGGAGAGTTTAGATGTTGAAAAATACAGTTCTATGAATCACTAGTGGCTGCTTACCTTTGTCTCTTCTTTAGCACAAGCTGTCACCTCATCCACTGCAAATTCTGTCACAGAAGACAGGAATGTTATTCAGGTTGACAATGAACAATGCCAATATGGCTGTTCATACTAAAGTAAAACATTCCTTTCAGTAAAACTTCAATACATTTTTGGTTTGTTTCCTTGTACTAGTTACAGTTCTAAAACCCTTAAAATAAATATCACTATAGGATAACAAATCCAGAAGACTTAGCAAAAGCCTTATCAACAACACACAGAACACTTAAAAAATAATGTCTATGTTTAGTTAACCATTAAAATAATGCACAATTATGCTGGATATTTCTTTTATTTAAAGGTTGTGCTCTAACAAAGTTAAACTCAGGTTAGTCTGGCTCAAAAAGTGGAGTATGATTCTTATATGTAAGGATTATTTTGAGTACTAGCTAACAGGACAATTCATGATCTTAACGTTACCTGTGCATCCAGAGTATTTGTCACTTTTATCGTCCTGCAAGCACAAGTGTGATAATCAGTCAAACATCATGCTCTAACATTACCTTATACTGTCATTACAACTGCAATACTGTAGTATAATTTGACAATAATTAAATATTCAACACTGTGAAATAAGACTAGACATATTCATGACATTTGACTGAAAATTAGCATTTTTTTAATCTAGAAAACTCCCTTATAAAACTAGAAATATTGTACTGAATTAATTTAAATTGTCTCTTGCATTACTGAAGAACAACATTCCTATTTTTGTGGACAAAAGTAAATAGATTTTGCCTGGCCAGAGGCCTGCTGCACGTGCAGGCCGCTAACGTTAACAATAACAAAAATGACCAAAACATCTTGGTAAAAATATGCAGTCTGGCAAGAACATGAATTCAAACAATATTTCAAAAGTAAACGAAGATTATACGTAAATGTACGCAAATACAGTAAACGTTTAATGTACAGTTAAATTGCAAAATCTCTTAGCAATTCCAACGTTTGGTTTAAAACGCGATCGTAAGAATCTAACTTTAACGTTACAGTTAAAGTTACCCTAACTAATATTATTGTCAGTTTGATACATTAATCTGTACTTTCTGCAAAGCAGCTTCGAGATTATGCCGATTATCAAAAGCGCTTGAGACATAAAATAACGCGATTTTTATGATATAATATAGTTGCAAACAATACATAAACATAAACATTCGAATATATTGAAGTGATCGTACAAATCATAAACTTACCTGTCCTTCAGACATGTTGACGTCTTCGCGCCTTTACTCACAGCATCCTCTCTGACCCCGTCCTGCTGTGTCGCAGGTGTGTGTGTGTGGGGGGGAGGGGATGGTCGCGGTGGGGACGCAAAATCTCCGGTCACGTGTAATGTCACTTTCCCGCGCTGCTTTAGCGCGGGTCGCCGACTGAACCGCAGTCTGGCGCATGCATACACAGCGGATGGCCTTCAGCAGCAATGCAGCACTGACAGCTCTAATGTGTCAGTCGAACTTTTACTCGAAATTATTCAGCTTATTACCCGAACATATTTGCTCTAACTAAATAAATGCATAATGGTTAAAGGGAATTTTAATAGCTTAACGAAAAAAAGTTAGGCTATAATTAAGATACAAAGAACCCCCTTATTATTAAATGCTTTATTCTGACAACATAAATAAATGGATCCCATTTAGAACTTTTAAAGAATTCACAAAAAAAAATTCATTAACTATTACAAACACTTGTAATAAATAAAGGCATTCAATCCTGCTGTCAGGGTGTAAATAATACAACATGTGTTTTATTATGTTTCCATTCATTCATTCATGTTTATTCCCTGATTGGGGTCGCCATAGCGGAATAAACTGCCATTATGTGTCCATTATGTTTTATTATAATACCAACATTTGGTAATTTAACATTTTGGACCACATAAATGTATTAGATGTGATGTATTGACCATGCACACCTACATACATCCATTACTTTATTATTAAAAGGGGAATAAACTACTGTTTATTGCAACTTATCTGAACATCATTATCAAAACTCTTTAATATGTCCAGTCAATTTAATATGAGCATGTAATACCATCTAACTACATCTTTATGGTATTCTTTAAGGCAAACAGGCCTAAATAAATGCAAGGCCCTTAAAATGGTTTGTTCATCTTCAACTACTGATACCAGCACATCACAGGCCTATCTAATAGAAAGTGTGGCAAAATGAAATGGTTTGTGGAAATATTCCTGAGCAGGTATAATAGCTTACGTGATGGTAGCTCCAGAGAGCCTCACAGCACCTACACTGCTCTTAAAGAGAGTCTAGCAGCAGAGCGAGTGAAGCAAGAGTGTGGAGGGGTTGTTGCTGGATCAGATACGTTTGTGGCTGGAAGTTAACGAATATGATTTATATTATCTATTAAATTACACAATAAATAGTATTTCATTAATGTCTACAACCACCCTAACCGTCACAGTACTGTAATAATATAAATTATTGTTATACAGTGTCATAAAAAATGCTTCTGTATTGATGTGTATTTGCAGTTCCGGCCAGCCTTGTATCCTATCTACACTTTACTGTGTGGAGGGAGAGAGCTGACATCTAAAGATGGCCTCATACTGTAGGTCCATGAACCTGATTCTTCCTGCTAGTTTCAAATGATTTCAACACAACACCAGAAGTAACTGAAGTTGTTTACTGTTATTAATGTGTTATTTAAATGCACAGTTTACTTAGATACTTAGAAGTGATTGAAATGAAAGGTGTAAAACAGAACAGAAAGTGATTCAGAGCTGTTGTTCTCCTTGATGTCCTGAGAAACAGTCTGTATTAATTTTGAAGCTCATTAACGGCATCCTTAAAATAAAAGCAAACTTTCTCTCTTTTCACACTTAGTTGTAATGTTCTAGACAAGGTCTGAAACCATGTCAGCACTTCTGTTGCTACTGCCTTCTCTTAAGCTAGATCCACCTTTAGGATGACATAAAAGTGTCTTCCATAATTTAATACTCCCATAATTCTTGAAAGAATATACAGAAATCCTTAACTTAGAAATAAAATGTTTCATGTATGTAAATCTACTGTACATGTAAATTCCCATAGACTATTGTGATAAAGAGACATTGTTCATTATTTCCAGGATTTATGTAACCCTTGTGAGGGTAAAAAACCATAACGATTTGGTCCCTGTAGACATTTAACATTTGGAATCACAGAAGTCAATGTGCTGCTATGTTTATGGCAGAAGCCCATCATGTCCAGGCACCTGATGTAAGAAGTACTGGCCCTCTTGAAGCAGATGCTATATCCATTGACAGCTCTGCTAAAAGGACTAAGCTAAAACTTGTGTACTGTGATGACCGGTCCTGCACTTTGGCCTTTTTGCTGCTCCTTGTGTAACGCAGACACTATAGCATGCTTGAATCAGCCATTGCCCCTATACTTGCTCATTCCCTATAGCAGCCCTGTCTTGATGCTGGAACAGGTTTTTAAACTTTATTCAGATCTATTTTTTTCACATTGTTCACATGCTTAAACTTCACAAAGACAGATGTAGCCTACTGTAGCCGACCAATTCAACCTAACAGTAGGTCAAAACTTAATTTTTTGACCCATGTTTATTAGTAACATGGTTCAGCCGGGTTAGGTATATTCTGTTTATGTTCTGTGTTCTCGCATCATTCATTCTTCCAAGCTAACCTGGCTATAGGTCTCCATAAGGACACAAGTCTGTTCTCTGTGTTCTCATTTACAGTCAATAGTGATTTTCTCATTAAAGTCTGAAGGAAGAAATAAACCCTGTGTTTATTTTAATAAAATGTAGGCTAATCTAGGCAAAGCCAAACTTTAGTTTTTTAAATATAGATGCATACAGTAATACCATTGCATATAAACTGAGTATTACAATAAACCACACTAAAATATTTTAACCTTAACTGGTAATGTATTAATACAAGAGTGAAATACTGGCTATGCTCCTTTTGATTTATTTATCAATAATGGATATTTATATCCTGAACACATAATGGATATTTGGAATCTGTTGTTAGATCTACAATAAATTGCATAAAGAGCATAATTTTTTAACATATCTAATATATTCTAATCAGTTGATGCCTTGTAATGTAATGTATTAAATAGTTTTTATGCTGGTCAATCAACAGTTAATGTAATAATTGAAGACAAGTAAGGGGGCGCTATAGAGTGGAGACAAAGTGACACACTTTTCCAGAACAATGACGTGGTGGGGACTGCAATATTCTGTGTGACCCCCAGGGGCGCATAGATACACAGTCACACAGAATATTCTCTTGAAAATGATCCCCAAGAGGACATTAGAGAAAATGCATGGGGTGTGTCCTAACACTATTTGGGAGGGGCTAGTGAGGCTTTGCCCGTGGGGACCTCAATTTAGGTCCCCACGGTGACATGAGTCCCCATGAGGCTGTGTGCAGTCAGGTTTAAGTCCCCACCGGGATATAAAAACAAGAACACACACACACACACACACACACACACACACACACACACACACACACACACACACGCTGACCTGTCGAGTCTTCTCTGAGTTCCTGACGTCTGTCACCTCATGGCCTTCCATCATACAGATGTTGTTGGACATTGATGTGCGTGCGTGCGTGCGTGTGTGTGCGTGCGTGTGTGAGTGTGTGTGTGTGTGCGCTTTTGTTTGTTGATTCTCTCTCGGTATTTCCTGTTGGTCATTCCAGATGTTGGTCTGCTTCTCGTCAGCTCGTGACTCTCGCAGGAGCAGGCGATCCCTCATCAGCTCAACACATCCACCATCTTTATTTATTCCTGGTGTGCTCGTGATGTGGCTGAGCGGGCCGCGTCTCCTTACCTCAGTGATACGGTGGTTGTTTATGGTGTGTTATTGTTGAGTTCCTCCTGAATCTGGTGTATTGATATTATCCACTCGTGTTCATGGATGTGCCTGACAGCGGTTCTCTGCTGCGTCTCCGTCTGGGGATCGTCAGTGAGCTACACTATATATTGCTAGTCAATTAGTGGAGTTAATAAAGCATTAAACACCACCGCACCGCTGCACCGGCTCTCTGTTTTCACTGAAACCTTCTGAAGTGAAGCGGGTGTCGCAGGCAGGCCCCTCCCTCCTTCCCTCCCTCTATCTCCTCCTTCCCTCCTAGGTCCAATCACTCCACCAGAACATTACAGAGACGATCACCACTCTGAGTGTCTGAGCATCATCATAGGACGCCTGATCTGTTCACTGTTTATCCTCTTACTTCCCTTCCCCTTCATCCTCCTGTTCCCTCACCATCCCCTTCCGTCCCTACATCCCTAAATAAAGGCTAGCTCAGAGTGTGGCGTGCTCCATGCTGGAAGCAGATTACTCTTCATTTACCTCTATCTTCTCCAGTTCACACTTACAGATGTTTTAATAATAAAGCATATGTGGCGTGCTGGCATCCAGGGAGAGGGCTCTGGGCTCGGGGAAGACACCCCACCTCGGGTTATTCCCCTTATCGGGAAAGATAAAGACGTTGGGGTTCGAGTGAAGTGTCTAGCCTGGCACCAGAACGCTCCCCCTGGGCAGATGATGTATAGGGGGTGAAGTGTCGGGGTGGTGGAGGGATGCTAAAGTCGTGAGGGGATGCAGGTTGGACAGCTCTGTGTATTTATAGGGGTTTGGTCTAATGCTGATTGGATAATAGAGTGATTGTCAATGATGTAATTAAATTGCTGAAACACCTGCACCTGCTCCTGCTCAGATGTGTTCATAAAACATCACGAAGCCAGTAATGACACTTTATAAAACCCTGATAAAATGTAAGATGTGCGACTCTGTTATTGTCATGGTGTTCCTCAGGGCTCAGTGTTCGGTCCTCTGCTGTTCTCCAGGACACTCCTGATACTCAGGACCAGGGGCGCCGCTAGGGGGGAAGTTAGGATGATTCTAAGGGCCCACACATTTAGGGGCCCCCAGAGACATTATCAAGGGCCTGCTGGATTTTTTGTAATTTGACGTCAGATGATATGATGCACACATAAATGTTCATGCACTTTTTACAAAATCTAAACCCTTTCAAGGATTTAAGATGCTGATGACGCTTCAACGCCTCATGACAGTCTTGTGCAAGGCTCCATCTTCTGTTTAAGAGTGTTGGAGTGTGCGCCTCCTCCAGTCAGCATCTCCTGTTCTCCACATCAGCAGAGACTCTGGATCAGCAGCAGTTACCCAGAAGCAGGACTCGAGCACGCGGCAGCTCCACAACCCAAAACACACTCCTCCTCTCTCCCGCTGTTCCCTTCTGCTCTGGTGTGCGCAGTGATGAAGAGTACAGTTCAGCTTCCTCACCGTGATGATGAAGATCCATCAGGGCTGACCTGCTGCTATATTAATGTTGAAGTGAGCGGTGTTCATCTGACAGCTCCATCTGTGACAGCACCATCCCAATGGATATTGGAGAAGAGGAAATGTCCGAGCGTCAGCCCCAAACACACGACTCTCTCACTGACACTCCACGAGCTTTCAGGACAGAAGGTGAAGGTCTGCAAGTCTCTGTGTGTCTGCAGTGTTGTGTGTGTGGTCATGTGCAGGACGTAATGCTCCATGATGAGCAGATTCAACACTGTAGAGCTCAACACCCAGATTCTGCCTAGACAAAGACGAGGAGAGCAGACGGAGCTGTACAAGGCCCGGGTCATCATCACCAGCAGAACTGCTGCATTCAGACAGTGAGCTGCAGCCGTAGGGCCGGGTGTGTGAACACACACGTCTACAGTTCACTCCGAGCCCTCAGTGTTCAGTGTAATTCTCCATATTGAACTGCAGAAATGTGTGTGTGTGTGTGTGTGTGTGTGTGTGTGTGTGTGTGTGTGTACACATCAGGACACTGATCAGTGAGATTACCTGATCAAACACACAGCTCTGTTCACCGGTCTCCATGCAGACACACTGAACAGCGTAACCACGGCAACCGCCTCAGCACCAGAACCTATAGAAGGCAGCAGAGCATTACACCTGCTGCTGTATGATGGAGAGACCTGCAGCGTCAACACACACACACACACACACACACACACACACACACACTCCATGAAGATACACACTCCTGCATGAGCGCTCCATTACAGGAAAGATTAAAGTGCAAGTCACACACACACACACACACACACACACGTCAAGTTATCTGCAGTCTCTTCACAGCTGTCGTGCTGTGTGTGCTGTTCAGACTATATGGTCTCCTCACCGCACACACTCTGCTCTCCTGCATCTCCACACTCCTTCACCCTGCTGGATCCATCAGCGCTTTCCCTCATGAAGACCAAAACAATGAACACAAGATCAGAATCACTGCGATTACTATACTTGTGGGGACATCTGGTGCTCACAGCTGGAGGAATATAAGGTATTCTCTTGCTCAAACACACACACACACACACACACACACACACACACACACACACACACACACACACACACGGCCCTGATGGTGTGTGTGTTCTTCCTCTGTCTCTGATAAACTGCTTCTCTGCGTTATGAAACACTGATCTGAGAACAGCCAAAGTGGACTGATGTGTGTGTGTAAGTGTCCGCCGCTGCAGTTAGACTTCAGCACGTCAATCCCTGCAGCTCATGTTCTGATTGGCTGATGTGTGGTGTGGGCGGGGCTAGACGGAGGGCTGAATCATTCACACACTGTTCCCCGATCAAGACGCCTCTGTGCCGGATTACACAGATCCCGACCGCCCCCATCATCACCGCGAGGAAGAGCACGGCGAGGAAGATGAAGGAGATGTAGATGATGAAGATCTGCTGCTGATGATGATGAAGATGTGATGGCCTAATCTCCGCCCTCCTCCTCCTCCAGCAGCTCCGCATCGAGCAAACAGCGCTGATATTATTCTGCCATCGGGTAAGAGAATCACGCGCTCATCTGCACGACAGCGGTCACACACACACCATCACACACAAGCACACACACACCATCACACACACACGCACACGGGTTGCGTCGGCCGAAAGCGGTGCCAGGTTAATTCACATTAAATCGACGACCGACACACACACACACACACACACACACACACACACACACACACACACACACACTGCTGTCATTGAATGTCATCGAGTGTTTCAGATTATAATGTGTGTCTGCTCTGTTAAAAGAGCTGAAATCTCCATTTCTGATACTCACACAACCTTACACACGATGGGAAACACTGACACACACACACACTCGCTGTCAGGTGAGATGTGACGTCATCAGTGATGATGTCGGAGAGCATCTGTGTGTGACAGTAGTATAACCACTGATCTGTAACCGAGAACATTATATACACGCGCGCTCGCGTGTGTGTGTGTGTGTGTGTGTGTGTGTGTGTGTGTGTGTGCGATCCTTCATCATTTCAGTCAGTCAGAAGGTGTTCAGCTGATGGACTGTAATGATGATGAGTGAGCTGGTGCAGATCTGTAATGTCTTCCATCATGAGGAGGACTCTTCATCCGTTTGCTCTGAGCGATTCCCCGTCAGTCCCGCTGCTCCTGTGTGGAGTGAAGCTGGATTCAGTGTGTGATCTGCTGTGGGTCAGTGTAGATCAGGACTGATATATTAAAGGGCTGTAATGAAGGACACAGTTTGACCAACACAATCATTAAGCTGCTCTATTGGATTGAGATCTGGTGACTGTGGAGGCCATTTGAGTACAGTGAACTCATCGTCATGTTCAGCAGTCTGAGATGATTGAGCTTTATGACATGCTGCGTTATCCTGCTGGAAGTAGCCATCAGAAGATGGAGACACTGTGCTCATAAAGGGATGGACATGGTCAGCAGCAATACTCAGGTATCTTCAGTAATATTCGGGCGTTGTATATCGTTATTTAAAGCATGAAAGTAAGTTCAACAGCAGTTAAATGGTCTTCTATATCTTAAGATC